ATGGCCACCCCACTCTTCCCAGCTCGGCCCGTCCGCCCAATCCGATGGATGTAATCTACACCCCCCACACCGGGGAGCAGGGGGAGGGGGGGGGAGCGGTGGGGAAGGGGAAAGACGGGAGGGGGAAAGACAGGAAGGGAAAAGGGGGAGGGGAAAGATGGGAGAGGGGAAAGTGGGGGAGGGGAGGGGAAAGACGGGGGGGGGGGGGGGGAAGGGGGAGAGGGGGGAGACGGGGGGGGGGGGGGGGAAGATTGGGAGCGGGGCGGAGAGAGGGGTAAAGGGGTGATGGTGGGTTGGGAGGGGAGGGAAAGGAGAGACGAACAGAGAGAAATTAGTCATTAAAACTGAAACCTGCCCTTCAAAACACAGCATGTGCCTCGAAAGGCCACCTGAACAACACACACACAGCAAGATCCCACTGCCCTCAGCCCCATGTCATGTAAGGCCATTCCCCCCACCCCCACAATCCGAGATTAAGCCCAAATTGATCCCCAAACCGCAGCCCGCACCACACCGCTCCACCCCAGCCCCAAACAGTCAAGGGTCCACCTCCCCCACCCTCCTTAGGGTCGGCCAAGGTCCTGTTAGCTCAGCACTGAGGCTAGTCGGAGGCTGGGGCGGGGTGGGGTGCGGTGGGTACCGTACAGATTCGGTATCACCATTACAATGGGGTGGGAAGGGTCAACATTATGTCCAGTGCTTTGATCAGAAGGTTGGGGTCTCGAGGACAAATCTTTGATGGGGGAAAGAGTTCGATGGGAGGGTTAAGGCTGTCGGGGGAGAGTTTCCAACGGGAGGGTTAGGGCTGTCGGGGGAAGAGTTTCCAACGGGAGGGTTAAGGGTTGTAGAGGAAAGGGCTTTGATGGGACAGTTAGGGCTCTAGAGGAAAGGTCTAGGGCTCTAGAGGGAGGCTCTTTCTCAGACACCTCTTACCTTCAATGTTCTTGGCCATGTCGTAGTTGAGGACCATCGAGACGTCATGGATATCGATACCACGACCTGCCACGTCGGTAGCTACCAGGATATCCTTGGCACCAGCCTTCAGGTTCGAGAGAGCAAACTCTCTCTGTTCCTGACCTTTACCCCCATGCAGGGTGCAGGCATTGAACTGCAAACATCAGACAACAGATAGGGAAACAGTATCATACAGAGTAAAGCTTCCTCTACGCTGTCCCCCCTCATCAAACACTCCCAAGGACAGGGACAGGGACAGCACGGGGTTAGAATGTTTTAAAGAGTTACCCTAAGGGAGGAGCGATGACAGAGCTATTTAAACCACAAACTGCTGCACGATGTCCACCCTCTCCAGTAAACCCTCTCTCCACAGGAAAGGCTCAGAGACGGAGAGTTGAAACCAGGAACTCTCAACATAAGCAGGGCAGTGAGAAATCATCCACTTCCAGGGAATAACCGCAACGGACCAGACAAGGTACTGAAGAGGTTCATCTACTGGGACGATCCCAGAACTGCTTCAGGTGTGATTGTCAGGAAAGACTGAATCCACTCGAAAACAGAAAGCTGAGGCTGTGAGAGCGCGCGTGCGAGTGTGTGCGGGTGAGTGAGAAAGTGAGAGCGCGAGAGGGAGAAGGGGGTCTGTGCCCGTGCACGCGCGAGTGTGATAGTGTGCATGTGCGCCTGTGTGTGCATGTGCACAAGTGTGTGCATGCGTGCGCGCGCGCACATGACAGAATGCGTACGTGAGTGCGTGTGGGCGTGACAGAGCGCGTGTGAGTGCGTGTGGGCACGCATGTGTGCAAGAGTGTATACATATGCATGTGAGTGTGGCTGCGTGCATGCGCGAGTGATTGCATGTGTGCGCATATCTGTGTATATGCGTGAGTGAGGGAGAGTGTTTGAATGTGTCTGTGAGTGACATACGAGGGAGGTACAGGGATAGCAAGGGGGGGTGAGTTGGTCCAAACAGCCTGGCTGTAGGCTGGGGGGCAGAGCCTGAGGTGTCGGGCAGGCCCATGCACTTACCCCCATCTTCTCCAGGGACTTAGCCAGGACATCGCAGCCTTTCTTCTGATTGACAAAGATGATAATGGGGGGTTCGAAGCCTTCCTCCAGGAGAGCGAGGAGCTTCTTCCTGATAACACACAGCACAGGCACATCAATCAGCACAGCACAGCACAGCACAGGAGGATCCCACTCAGCACCCCCCCCTCTCCTCCTCGAGCCTGTCACACAGGAACAGGAGGAGGCCATTCAGCCCCCTCCTCGAGTTTGTCACACAGGGAACAGGAGGAGGCCATTCAGCCCGCACTCCACCCCCCCCCACCCCACCAATTCTGACAGGAACAGGAGGCTGTTCCTCCTGGCCCGTCACAGCCACGCATTACCTCTTCTCTCCCTCCGACATGAGGTAAACCCGCTGCTCCACACGCTCATGGGGTTTCCCGGCCGAGCCGATGTAAACCACGGCAGGTCTGCGCAGGTAACTGCGGGCAAGTCTCTCTACCGAGGGGGGCATCGTGGCTGTGAACATCACTGTCTGTGAGAGGAGCAAAGCAGGCCATCAGAAGGCCCACACACACACAGGGACACTCCCGCGCACACAGGGACACGCACACGCAGAGACCCACGCACGCGCACACAGACACACACACACACACACACA